ATGGAGAGTGGACATCCTTGTCTTGTTCCTGATCTTAAAGGAAAAGCTCTGTTTTTCACCATTGAGTAAGGTGTTAGCTGTGGGTTTTCATATATGGCCTTTATTATGTAGAGATGTGTTCCTTCTAAACCTATTTTGTTGAGGACCTATACAATGAATGGATATTGTACTTTGCCAAATGCTTTTTGTGCATCTATTGAAATGGTCATATGGTTTTTATCCTTTCTTTTGTTAATGTGATGTATCACACTGGTTGATTTGTTTATATTGAACCACCCTTGCATCCCTAGAATAAATTCCCATGTGACGGGATTTTTTTTTTTTTATCCTTTAAGCCATTTGGTGCATTTTAATTGGTTAGTTTAATCCATTTACATTTAAGTAATTAATAACTAATGACATATTCTTGCCATTTTGTTAATACTTTTTTGGTTTAAACTTGCTTTGTCATTCTTTGCTATTGATGCCTTCCTTTGTTATTTGTCGAGTTGTTTTGATAGTGATTTGCTTTGATTCTTTTCTCTTTATCTTTTTTATATCTATTATAGCTTTCTACTTTCTGCTTAACTTGGACTTGTATACAATATGGACTTAAAATTTTTATTTTATTTTTATTTCATTTATTTTCTTTTTAGAGAGAAGCAGACTCCCTGATGAGCAGGGAGCCTGATGCAAGACCCTCTGATCATGACCTGAGCTGAAGGCAGGTCCTTAACTGACTGAGCCACCCAGAAGGCCCCTGCAATGATGCTGTTTCTAAACAAGTTCACATTCTGAGGTGCTGGGGGTTAGGATTTCAATATATCTTTTTAAGGGACACAATTCAATTCATAAGAAAAAGTGAGTTAAAAACAAATCATAGATGCTGAATGCTGGACCCAGACTCAGTTGGTCCCTTCTTTCCTGAGTTGTTCTCTCACTACCTGGGTTGATTGTCTCACATTACTTACAGAGCTCTCTAGTGTTTAGCAACTACTCAATTGCCTTGCACTTCAATAAAATTTTTATTTTAACTAGATAACAATTTAACTTCTTTTTTTCATGTTCAGTTAGCCAGCATATAGTACATCATTAGTTTTTGATGTAGCATTCAACTAATGAATTGTTGAACAATTTAACTTCTATTGCATACAAAAACTCTGCATTTTTACTTGCCCACACACCCTTTTTGTTTTTGTAATCAGAAATTGATTCCTTTTATATTGTGTATTCATTTAACAAATTTTTATCTTTTAATTTTTATATTAGAGTTAAAAATTATTTATGCACCATTACAGTGTTACATTAATCTGTATTTATCTGTACATTTACCTTTACCAGTGATATTTATGCATCCCTATGATTTAACACTGCTGTTTTTATTGTGTTTTCATTTTATTTAAAGAACCCCCTTAAGCATGTCTTGTAAGGGAATTCTAATGGTGATGAATTCCTTCAGCTTTTGTTTATCTGGGGAAAACTTTATTTCTTCTTTTATATTTTTGAAATACATTTTTTCCAGTTATTGTATTTTTGGTGTGAAGTTTGTTTCTTTTAGTACTTTAAATATATCATCCCATTCTCTTCTGGCCTGCAAAATTTCTGCTAAGAAATCTGCTTATAGTTTTATGGTAATTTCTTCATATGTAACAGATTGATTTTTCCCTTGATACTTTCAAATTATCTCTCTGTCCTTGATCTCTGACAATTTGATTATAATATGTCTCAGTGTAGTCTTCTTTGGATTGATCATATTTGAAGATTATTGAGTTTCATTAACCTGGATGTGAATTTCCCTCCCTAGATTTGGAAAATTTTCAGTAATTATTTCTTTAAATAAGCTCATTTTTCCCCTTTCTCTCTTTTTTCTCCCCATGGAACTCCCATAATGCATGTATCAGTGCAAGAGAAACAATACATCCTGATATTCTGTAAATCCTGTAGGCTTACTTTCCTTTATTTCATTTTTTTCGTTTCTCCTCTGACTGGAAATTTTCAAATGACCTATCTTCAAGTTCGCAGTTTCTTCTCCTGATTGATTGTGTCTGATACTGAAGTTTCTACTGTATTTTCTGTTTCTTTTATTGTATTCTTCAACTCCAGAATTTGTGCCACATTCTCTTATTGACTTCTCTTTGTTGAATTCATATTGTTTTCCTGATTTCCTTGAGTTACTTAATTGTGTTCTCTTATAATTCATTCAGCTTTCTTAAAACAATTGTTATAGAATTATATAATTATTATTTGAATTCTCCATTTCTTTGGGGTCAGTTTATTAAAAAAATATTTTGTTCATTTTGGGTGGTGTTTTATTGATTGTTCATGTTCTTTATGACTTTTCATTGTTGTCTGCACATTTGAGGCAGTAGGTACCTCTTTCAGACTTTATGGACTCAATTCAGTAGGGAAAGACCACGTGCAGGTGGGTTCAAAAATATTGGCTGTGTAGGGTGTGGCAGCTCTGGTTCTAGGAGACTGCAATGGCAGCTCCAGATCTAGGAATGGGGAGGGCACAGGAGTGTTGACTTTGTACAATTCCATCAGCTGAGATCACCATTGGCAAAGACTGTGAGGTTCTTTGACAGACAAATCTGTAGTTGTCTGTGGTGACAGTGGAAGCTGCTGGACTCCTCAGTGGAAAAGACTGCTGAGGTCTACTTGTTCTCCAATACCCCATGAGAGGAAGTTATGGCTGAGGGGATCACTCCCAATAACACAATCTAGTTTGCATATACACACATGGCAGCAGTGCTCATTTATAGACTTTGAAAATCTCAGGGACTTCATATAAATATGTATTATTATCATCATCTTTATAATTATTTTTTATAACTGCTTACCTTAATTACATCAAGATAAGGATAGATTGCAATCTGCAAGGTCAAACACAGTGACTACTCTAATTTCATTTCTATAGCACCAAGTATAACATTATACACAAATGTAACCTAATACTTTATTTTATCACAATGATGGATAGATGGAGTTATGACAGATTATATTTAGCCAGGAAAATTAACTACTTACTAAGTTAGAAATTACATCATCAGTGCATCTCTCAAAATGTCTTTATTGTCTTGTTATAAAGTAACAATTTAGAAATTTTGTACAGTTTTTTCATAAACTGGTATATCTAAGAAAGACATGACAGAAATTGCTGCTTGAACTCCTATTAATTGTTATTGGTACAAAATATTTTGGTATACAAGAAGCTTCCTGTCAAATGATGGTCACTTCTAAGACACTCTAAGATTTGAAAGCCAGTATGAGGTAAGAGGTGTTAGGACTAGGAAACTGATCATCAGTTTATCAGTGTATTCTCATCATAAAAACAACTTTTATTTGAAGGGTTTGATAAAATAAAATTTCTACTACAAAAGAGCATTAAAGAGGAGAAAGAATGTGAATAAAACAGACTTTGGACTTAACCAGACATGGGATTGAAACATACCTCTGCCATTTACTAGCTTTGGGACTATGAGCAAAGCTGAACCACACTATGCCGCTGTTTCCTTATCTGCAAAATGAAGTATTGAAAATGCCTTTTTTTCTGGAAATTTGGTAAGAATTAAATGGGTTAACAAAGGAGATAGATGAATAAATGCTGCACAACATTGAGATTATAGTTAACAATATTGTATTATACACTTGAAAGTTGCTAAGAGACTAGATCTTACAGGTTCTCACCACAAAAAAATAATAATGTGATGTGATGGTGGTGTTATTTAACACTATGGTGGTATCATATTGCAATAGATAAGTGTAACAAATCAACACATTATACACTTTAAACTTACACAATGTTATATGTCAATTATATCTAAATAAACAAATGTTTGAAACTAAAGAACAAACATGGGAACTTAGTACATAATAACTGGTAATTGCTTATTGTTGTTATTTTTGCTTAGTATTAATTTTAGTATTATCTATGTGTTGCTTACAGTTGCTACAAATTCAATAAACAAATGCATTTTTCCATTGATTTGCTGCTGTGAGCACTGGTTGAAGCCCAAATCTTACTCTATAATTCACTGTGAACATTTCAGCTTTAGATGAGGAGAGCTATACTGTATTAAAGTCAGAGTATTTTATAATGCTGATCTGAGTCAGTTATTTCCCTCTTTAATTACCCCCCCTTTCTTTCCTCTAAAATAAGGTCCCACCATGTTTGAACTTCTAGGAGCCTAAAAGAAGAGAGATAAGACTGCTACCAATCTGCCTATCTCATTATATTAAATTCAGCTGCAGAATTAGATCAGAAACTTACAGCTCCTAAGACTGTCTTTGGTTACCCTTTCTTATTTCCCAATAAAATTAAACCATATTTATTTATTTATTTATACATCCATTAATGTATGTTGATATGTATAATCCAAGTTACTTCCAAAAGAGATCTGAGGAGTGGTCTTATGATCAAAACTAAAGTAAAATTATCAGAGGTAAAGGAGAAAAAACAAGTAGCAAGAAGGTAGGGGATATTCCACTCCACAGGCATCTTTCTCTTCTCTTCCTTTATTCTGTCTTTTTTTTTCCTTTGCTTTCTCCTTGTTCTACCTCTTTTTGTTTGCCCCTGCCAATGACCTGAGTATGCTAGCACCTTATTTAGCTAAAGAGATGGTAGTCCACCTAAAGTGACTGCAGAGCAGCCAAGGTGGATTTTCAGAACTGCCTCTCAGTGGTAGGTTGTTGAGAGAAAGTTGAAGTAAGAGGGGGTGAAACTGAAGGGGACAACATTTTACAGACAGAAGGTAAAATAGCTAACACTATAAAAATTAGTAATTAATTCCATTACAAAAAATAATGGAGATAAACTGATTGTTTCCTGAAATGTAATTCTGACTTGTAATGGTTTTCTAGTTTCACCATACTAGTTAGAAGTAAGGTTAAGCATCCTTCTGCAATACCTGCTCAAAATCAAAGTATACAAATTATTCTCTCCCCTCCCCCTCATCCCTCCTCTCTCCAATCTCAGAGTACATTAGTAAGAGTCACTGCCTTATAGTCCTGAAGACACTCACCAGTATTAGAATTAAGATCGTCAGGCTCCGATTCGGTCCCATTTTGGTTTCCTTTTCCCTGAAGAGTGTTCATTGCCATAAGTTTCATCTTCTGCAGTTTCATTGCCTCAGCCATTGCTGCAGCTGTTATACCTAAAACCAGAACCATCCCTTTTAAAAGGGGGGCGATTTCTTAATGTAATTGAAAGCTGGATATATTTCTTTAACAGATCTATGCTGCATAGAACAAGCCAAAAGAAACCTATGTCTAATTTATGTATAATATTCTTTAACAAAGTAATTTTCAACTCCTGTTTTTTACTTCATCTTACAATGGACAGTTTAAAAATTTAAAAACTCATTAAATGGTTGTCAAATTCCATCGAAAATAACATTTTCAGAGAAAACACTGTGAAATACTTGAAGGAATTACATTCTAGTGAATGTATTGTTGGGATTTTGCTAAAGGATGAGCTGTCTTCCCTGTCAGAATTACCTTGGAAAGAAGGGGAAGAGAGGAGGGAAAAAGTTATTTCAAATTGTCTTTCTATATTTTACCTTTCTCATGCTTATACATTGAGGGACCAAATAAATGAAAACAGGGCATGTAACCCCTGAAAATATGTCAACTCCCATAGTATAATTACTTTTTTTGTATTAATATAAAATAATGCACCCCAGTGTTTATAGCAGCAATGTCCACAATAGCCAAAATATGGAAACAGTCCAGATTTCCATCAACAGATGAATGGATAAAGAAGATGTGGTATATATATATATATATACAATAGAATATTACTCAGCCATCAGAAAGAATGAGATCTTGTCATTTACAACAATGTGGATAGAACTAGAGGATATTATGCTAAGTGAAATAAATCAGAGAAAGACAAATACCATATAATTTCACCCATATGTGGAATTTAAGAAAAAAAAGTGATGAACATAGGGGAAGGGAAAGAAAAATAAATTAAGATAAAAAGAGAGAGAGAGGCAAACCATAAGAGATTCTTAACTATAGGAAACAAACTGAGGGTTGTTGGAGCGGAGGTGGGTGGGGGGATGAGGTATTGGGTGATAGGCATTAAGGAGGGCATTTGATGTAATGAGCATTGGATGTTATATGCAACTGATGAATCACTAACTTCTACCCCTGAAACCAACAATACACTATATGTTAACTAAATTGAGTTTAAATAAAATATTTAAAGAATATATAAGGCAATTACTTTTTAAAAGTCTGTATAATGGTACAAAGAGGTAGAACTAAAAAACTCAAAGAAAAAATGTGAGTGCTTAAGTTTAAAATTATTTCTCTTAAGAAGTCTATATCAGGCAGTACCATAAAGATATATAAGGAAATGGATACTAAAAATAGAACACAAACCATATTCCAACAATTCTTTCCAAAATGTCTAGTGAATTCACCTTGATTATTTTTATATAATGTCTAAATTCATAGCCATATATTGGTGCAGTGATGCCATGGACAAAAAGGGGGGAAAAACTGGCAGATTTAAAACACAGCGTTTTAGAATTCAGTGAATTCTATCCTTCCATGCAAATGCAAATCAAGGAAAACAAGGTATATATTGGTTGTGGCAAACAGAAAATTTAAGTGCCATTATTAGAAGAATCTGATTCTAAGGGGTAAGGTGAATTCTTTATTAAAGGTGTAAGGGGAAGTGCAGCCTAGAACATGTAATTGTGTACGTTTGAGAGAATAACTAAGGTTCTATTTTGCCACTCTATACTCTTTACAAAGCATGGAAAACTCCAAGTGAAGTAAATTTTCACCACATTAGCTTGTCTATTAATCATGGCAAAAAAATAATCTGAAAGAAATTGCTTTAGTCTCAGAATTGATGATATACATTTTTACATTATATAATATAGATGATCCCAGAAATTTTCTTGCTACATTTAGCTTTACAGAATTCCAGTCCCCCAATGACCTGTCCAACATCAAACAGTAACTCTGGGCAGAAAATATGATGGCAGTGATTTAAACCAATCAAAGGACCCTAATTAGGACTGCCAGGTCTGAGTGCCTCATAACAAAAAATGTATCAGGAAAAGTTTCAAGAATTTACATAAGCTATTCTGATCAGCAATCCAGAACTGGATCCTGACTATGATAATTACTGAACTGGTAGTTGTTTAATTACTGGAAGTGTAGTAGTGGATTTTGTAATAATATATGGATTTGTACTCTGTGAAAAACAAAAGTCAACAAAATATCTTGTAGACAGGGAATTCCAGAAAAAAAAGTGTCTCATACAATGACACTAAGGCAATTAGTGAGCAAGAGTACCCTCATATTTTTAATTCATAGAAAAAATAGAAAGGTCCAATATTTATGCATTTTTTCAACCAGATGCTATCTGTACAATATCATTGAAGAAAAAAAACAGTGAGCAAATTCAGAAAGCAATATTAAGGTAGTAAAGAATCAAAATATGAAGCACTACAAAGATATTTAGGAGCTACCTAGTTCAATCTCTTCTTTTTGAAAATGAAGAAATAGTCTCAGAGCAAACTGTCATAGGTCAGATATTTAGAGGAAGATATGAAAAAAATCCGAGTTTTGTGATGGGATCTGGATGTATTTGTTAAAGTACTGAACTAGTTTAAGTTAGAGTTAATGAGGAGAGAGCAGTGTGGAAAGATGGCAGAGTAAGAGGACATTGAGCTCACCCCATCCCACATTTACAACTAGATATCATCCATTTCCATGTCAATAAATTGGAGAGCAATCCAGAGATTGGCAGGAAACAAACAAACAAAAACCCTCCACAACTAAATATATAAAAGATGCTGCATCTTAAAGGTTAAGAAGGTCAGAAAGATGGAGGGAGACTGCCCACAAAAGAAAGTGAGCTACACGCAGAAAAGTTAGAGAAATAGGCCCTTGCACCAGAGAGCTGATATGGGGAAGACTAATCCTCATAACATTTAGCAGTAAAAACCAGAGACTGAATTCTGTGAGTTTGTAAAACCAGTGGGACTTGGAGCCTGGAGCTTTAAAAAGTCAGTGCCTCAGCACTAGATGACAGCTGGGCTGCTGCCCATAAAGGGACAGTAGCCTTTGTGGAAAGGCAACATGAAAATGCAGTTTACAAAATGCTGGGGGAAAACAGGAGACAGATCTGTTCATACTGATTTTGTAGCATATTGGGTGACTTTTTTGAAAATGAGAGAGCTGGGGAGGACGCAAGATGGTGGAAGAGTAGGGGACCTCATTTCATCTGGTCCCTTGAATTTAGCTAGATAACTATCAAACCATTCTGCACACCCATGAATTCAGCCTGAGATGTAAGAAAAAAATATTTGGAACTCTACAAGTAGAAAAGTGACTGCATTTTGCAAGGTAGGAGGGCTGGAAAAGTGAAACTGAGGGGAGATATCAGAAAATAAATGGAGAGGGGAGGGAGCCTCCATAAGCCGGCTACCAGAAAACAATAGAGCCCCAGAGGACAAAATCAGAACTCTTAGAAATCTGTTCCAGTGAGAGACATCCCTGTTTAAAAGGGGCTTATGGAATGAAAGGGGCAGAATTCTAGGTGGATCAGTGTGATGTCAGCATCCCAGGGGTCACAGAACTAATGGGGGTGCCTGAGCCAGTAAAGTGTCCAGGAAGTGGAGTGGGGAAACTGGTTACTGTCAGTGAACCAGGGGGGCGGGTATAAGGGCTCTCAGCTCAGTCACCATAAACTGTGAGCCGGGCCCGATTGGGTGACCACTCTCTGCATGGGCACCAAGCAGCAGAATGGAACACAGGGACCCTCCACCATCCCCTGGGAGTGGCAGAGCAGGTATGTGCACCATCCGACGAAAGGTCTCAGCACCAGGGCCCTACAAAGGGCAGTGATGCGAGACCTTCAGACTCCCCATGGGAAGATTGCCGTGGGCACGCACTGCAGGAGTGTGCAGAGTTTGGCATAAACAAAAGTGAAGACTGTCCCAGAGTGTTTACTGAAGAGGGGGGACTGCGATCTTTTGGGTCTAGGGTTGGATATCACGGCATGGCCATTTTTATTTTGATCCTCTAAAGAGGCATAGAAAGCCTAAAAGGAAAAAAAGCCACACAGAGGACCAGCATACACTGAGCTCAACCCCCTGGCAAGGGGTGGTGCAACTCTGCCCAGACAAAGACACCTGAGAAACAGCACAGCAGGCCCCTCCCCCAGAACAGGTGCACAAGTTTACAGATCCGACAATACTGTAAAACTCTGGCGCTGGGGGAAAATAGTATATAAAACTTGAGGATTTTTCGCATGATTCATTTATTTTTCAGTCTAAAATTTTCCATTTCTTTTTTCTTTTTATTTCCCCCTTTCAACTAATTTCTTATTTTATCAACACTGTTTTTAAGTCACTATTTAACTTTTATTTTTACATCTACATTTCATAGACATATTCTTCATTTTTTGATCTTTTCACTCTATTCAATTTTAGTTTTGTATATATACAAGGTTTGTTTTCTTTGCAATTTTGGGATTTAGTGTCTTCTAACACAGAGATCAAAAGTGACTCAGGAACAAGTGGATCACCCAGATTCGTCCACCCTATGAAATTATATTCTCTCTCCTTTGCCTTTTCTTTTTTTTTTGCTTGCTTTTCTGTTTTGGTTTCTGATCTCTTTGGATTTGTCTAGTGTGTATTTTGTTTGGGTTGTGGTTGATAATTTTGATTCTGCTCACTGGCTCACCCATTCTTCTCTGGGCAAAATGACTAGAAGGAAGAATTCACAACAAAAGGAAGAACCAGAGGTAATATTCTCTGCACAGATCTAATTGATAAGGATATAAGTTAGATGTCAGAGATGGAAACCAGGATAACAATTATAAAGTTAATAGCTGGGTTTGAAAAAAAAAACATAAGAAAAAACTAGAGAATCTCTTAGTGCATAAATGAGATCTAGTCAGGCCAAATTTAAGAATGTTATAATGGAGATACAGTCTAATTTGGATGCTCTAACAATGAGGGTGAATGAGGCAGAAGAGAGAGTAAGTGATCTAGAAGATAGGCTGGTGGAAGGAAGTTGAGGCAAAAAGAGAAAAACAACTAATAGCCCATGAACAAAGGCTTTGAGAAATTAATGATATCATTATCATACCAATGTCAGAATTATTTGGGGACCTGAGGGTGAA